TCCATCGTAAAAATTCCAATGAAGCGTAACGAGAAGCATATGAAGCATAGATTAAGCCGGAATCTGCGCTGAAAATTGCTTATGTACTGCCAAGAAAAATAGGAAAAGAAAAAAGAACGAGCAATTCTCACTTCCTCTAGCCCTTCCCACCGTTTTCCGGATCTACGCGCAAAAATTTGCGGCAATTTTTCTGCGCTTTACGGCAGATTGCCACTCCGGCTGGTCCTGTTCTCACATCTCTGTTCCGATGAGTCCTGCGTCCAGAGTTCTGTTTCCCACACTCACACACACACACACTCTTACACTGGCACGCACACAATCTGAAAAAACGCACACAATCGCAATCACAGCGATGGGCATGCAAAGCGTTGCCATTTTATCGTTGCCTACTTTTAGGCAGCCGCCATCAAGCTGTGCCAGAAATTGGAACTCGACCCCCCCGACTTCCTCTTCCGCTTCTCTGGTGCGCCTGCTGCTCTTGCTGCCCGCCCGCCTTTTATTTTTAGCAGTAGCATAATTTTTTATTGATTGGATTTCAGTGAAAATCACTTCCGGCGATAAATTTGTTATGCAGGCAGCGATTCCGTTCGGTTATGTCCTGACTTTCTGGCTTTCTCTCTCCTTTGACTTTCCCCCCATCAGGCAGACACTGGGTAAACTTTTCATGCTGGCGACGGAATACGAACAAGGATGACTGACATTTTACAGGAATACTCTGCTCTCGGTGTTTTGATTTATTTTATTTTATTTTTGCCCAATGTCAATCCTATATATCTGCCAACAGCCATTGCTTCTTGTGCGTCTTCTTCGAGGGGCGACTTCCGGGGGAAGTCCTTGCTTGTTCAACTCGGAATTTGTTTGTTTGGCTTTCGTTATGCCTCTGCACTAATGGCCAATGGAGTGGGTGGGGAGTTGGATTGGTGGGTGAAGGACATGGAAATGGCTACGAGTATTGACAAAGAAAATTTGCACACTGTTTGACTTACATTACGACGAGGTGGAGGCGGGCGTAAAGCGGAGAAAGCCTTTCGCCTTTGGCAAAATCAAATACAAATTACTGCAAAATGTTATCAAAAAGCCTGCCTGCTGGCGGGTAATTTAATATATCAATCGGAGCACGGTCAATGATCCCGGTCCCAATCCCAGTCCTTGTGATATCCTGGCAACCAGCAAGGGGGCTTTTACAGGATGAGCATTAACCGGCGCTCGGGCGGCGTAAAATCGTGGCAAATGAACCCACTAAAGACACGTCCATAACAACAGCTGCTGACCCAAACACGTACGTACGTGTGTATATGTGTGATGGGTTTTCCTCAAGAGAACCGTGACGTCACGGGTCCTTTGCAAAGAGTAACCCGAAGAGTCAAAAAGAGCAGGCTAGGCAGTGCGCCTGCGTTGGGCCAGGACTCGCAGGACGACTTCCGGCTAGCGCAGCGAACATATGACATCATTGAAAACAAACCCCGAGCTTTGGTAATGAAATTATGCGTTTTCCTTTTTCTTTTCTTTTTGCCTTGCCATTTTTGTCACCGCCTTGGGCCCCTTGTGTGTGTGCGTGTGTCCTGTCCTGTCGGTGTAAATAGTTTTTGGCTTCTGCTGTGGCGCCTATTCGAGCGCTGACGTCACTGCTGCCACCGCCGCTCGCTGTGCACTCGAATGTAAAATTGGCAAATAAATAGGATTTGATATTTAAGGTCCTGCAGCAAAGGAAGCCATGCGCAGACGATGGTGACATAAGACCCAGCACCAGCAGCCAAACAAAGTCCTCGGACAAAACACTGCAGTGTTGGGTCAGTTTTAGGTAGTATAACGGGGAATTAATTAAGCAGAGGTGATATAGAAATCTTTATGGTTTTTAAATTATGTTTTTTAGGGTGCAAAAAAATAGACCTGAGTTCTTAAATTTCTTAAAAATTAACTAAATTGAAATGTACAAATAATATATTTGTTTTAAGGTACTCTAAGAAATAGTTTTTGATTCAGCATATTTCTGAACTAATTTCTGCATTCCAGCTAAGGATATAGTACCTATTCCAGGAATAAACAAATAAACGAATATAGCTACAAAAAGGCTGAGAAGACAGCTCTGTCCTGGTGACCGCTGACCATTTCTTGGGGTAGCCAAAGGTGGCCAAAGGTCACCGCCACAGACAATGACATTTTGCTGGCCTAATTGAATCATGGGCACGTGCAACATTTTCCGGCTTGTGCGACTTTTCAATCACTTGCCTGTCGCGAGTCCTTAAAGCAGGCGAAACAAATTTCGCCCAAACGCACTCGCCGTCGAGTGCTCCGGCCATTTGGTTTGTTATTGTTTTATGCGCTATTACGCGCTCTCCGATGAAGAGCCCTAAGGATGCTGCATTCGCTGCACTGCCCCTCCCTTCCCCGGAGCCCTAATTTAGTGACGTCAATGGCTAAATGACTGAGTGGCTGAATGGCTGAGCACCGAAATGGCCGAATGGCTCCTTAACTGGGTGTCCCTCTTTTTATGGACACGCCTGTGCGGCGAGACGGTCGCCCATTAACTCAAAGCCTGCTTTTGGGCGCTCCTTCGAAGTGCCAGCTGGCAGTTGAAATAGCTTTAAGACTGAATGCGGTTTCCGGCATAAAACAATGTCGCCAAAGTGCCAATAGAAAGGCTACATTTTCCAGCAATAATAATTAAGGACTTTAAGAACTTTACAGGAGGTTAATCGGGATATTATATGATTCTTATATGAAATCTTAAGTAAATTGAAAGTAACTTCTTTTAAGAACCCCTATTTTTTTAGTTTTTCAGAACGCATCAATAAATATATCTGATATATTTTGTTCAGATTCATTTAATTGAGCAATTGCAAAAGTTTGGATACCATTAAAATTGTGGCAATCAGTTTTAGTAACTGTTCAACCATGGTCGCTTTCATATCGTCACCAATGATATTTCTTTTAATATTTTTTTACACGTTGGCCTGGGTGAATAGAAATTTGGTTTACTACTAATCTCCTTGGTTCTACGATTCTATATATAATGCAGGTCCACTGTCGATTCGAGTTCACCAACATTAATTGCTCTTCGTTGGACTCGGAGTACATGGGCGTGGATACGTGCCTTCTGAAATCTGTAAACCGATCATACAAATATATGAGCTTTCGGACAAAGTTTAAGAAATTCCCAGTGTATAATGTAACAGTAAGCAGTTAATAAATAATTATATGTACATCATAACTATTATTAGTTATTTTCAGGGAAGAGTCCAAGTGCTGAAGCGACTGAATGGCTATAAGCCATTTTTGTATAACTTTACCTTTGACGGCTGTAAATTCCTCAGGGGACAAAGGTCACCACTTTTACAATTCTTCTATGACCTTTTTGCTCCCTATTCAAATATGGTTCACCCCTGTCCATACAATGTGGGTTTCACTATAAATCAGTGCAGTCTCTTGATAGTTAAAAACTATTGTGTTTTTACAGCACGATGTCTATCTGGAAAAACTACCTATAAGCTATATGAATCATAGGCTGACGAATGTTCTTCCCGTGCCAGAAGGACAATACTGCGCACACAGCATTTATTTGATCCAAGGAATACCGCGCCTTGAACTAAAAGTATATTTCATGATATCTTAATTGTATTTTTATTTATTATCTTAAAATATAACAAGCAATTTGAAATTAAAAACTATTTTCAGCTTGGTAAAATCGTTGAAAAAGTATTAGGCGCTTGTGAGCTTTGTGAGTTTTTTCTTATACTGAAAAAGAATGATCACTTTAAACTGGACTTTGTGCGAATTCCTCTTGCACAATTATAATATAATCAGTACTTAATTCCACACTCAATTGGATTTTTGAATTAGTTTATTATGAATATTTAAATGCTATTTCGGTCGATTGCTACGGTTAATTGCCGAGTGCTTTAGGCATAAATAATAAATAGTTTAGTGTTTTGGTGCTCATTTAGCTATGGTTGTGCTTAACTGGTCGGCTCCGCTGATGGAGATCGTCGTTTTTTTATTTGGTGTAACAAGGATCTGAAGTATACAAGTCTAGAGTCCAGAAAAAAGCCTTTATAAAAACCTCGTCTTCAGGCCAACTGCAAATTCGAGTTCACCAACATTAACTGTACCTCGCTGGACAAGGATTTTATGGGTTTCGAAGAGTGCCTACTAAAGTCGAGAAATCGAACGTACAAATACCTTACCATCAGAACAAAAATTCATCAATTGCCCTTAGATGAAATCGGGGTAAGCCAGTCATCTTTCAAGTAAAGTAAACTCTTGATAATTCTTGATCCTTGATCCAGGTTCGGGTGGAGGTGTTAAAGAAAGTGAATGGCTACAAGCCCTTCCTTTTCAATTTCACCGCCGAGGTTTGTCAATTCTTCAGGGGAAAAGGCACTCCCGTAGTACGATTTTTCTACGGGCTATTCGCTCCCTACAGCAATTTGAATCACTCATGTCCTTATAATGTAAGTTCAAAATATAATAAACTGCCAATTGACTTTTTGAATCATCAGCTGACCGCTGTTCTTCCGGTTCCGGAGGGTGAATACTTTGTTCACAGTGTGTACTCTACCCTTGGGAAGCCTCGCATGGATCTCAGAGTTTACGTTATAATATATTAGAGCATTGATTGTTAATGAGTTTAAATATTTGCGGATATGAGAGATCGCAGCATAAACACTGTTAGATTTTAATGTCGATCAATGTTACTTGATTCGTTTTTATCTCTTTAGCATTATTAGCTTTTAATAACTCAATAATGATGATTTGAATAATTATTTTGATTGTTTCCCTCAAATTATTTTTGATCTTTGTAAAAATCCATCATTATTTGACTTGCAGCCTAAAGGTAGGCAGCATTGGGATCCTGGATTCATACCGTTGATCGTGATCGCAGCAGCAGAGGCAGAGCAGCAGCAGCAGCAACAACAGCAACCGAGTGACCGACTGGCAATCAGACAACCTCTTCGCCTTGTCTTCGCACCGGATCGCTCAGTTTCTTCCAGCCAGTCGTTCGTGTCGGTTGTTTGGTTGTTGCTTGTTGGATGTCGGTTATCGGTTATCGGTTGTTCGCAGTACGTTGCTCGGTTGTTGCACGTTGCACTCGCACGCTGCAGTCGCACGTTGCTGCCGCCGCACGCAGATTTTGGGGACAGCCGAAAAAGCACTCGAGTTATATTATTCTGACACAATTTCGCAGAGTGCAAAACTGCCGAATGGCGAAAACTGCAACGACCTGTGTGTGGAGTGAGTGTGTGTGTCTGTGTGTTTAAAATAAGTGTGTCGTGCGGGGAAAAAGCGCTGAAGAAAGAAGGAAAAACCAAAGAGGGTGCACACCAGCCAGAAATTGAAAATAAACAAAAAGAAATTGCATAAGTCGGACTTTTGGCGTGCGCTTTGCCCATCTTCTTCTCCTGCTTCTCCTTCTTCCCCCACTTCTTCTCCGCCGCTTCTGCAATATTTGAGTTGTTGTTGCCATTGCAGCGCTTTTTGTTTATGCGAGATAAAACAAAAGCAAGAGGAGAAGAAAATATATAAAAAAAAAAGAGAAGAGAGGCAGAAGAGTCAAAAGATTTAAACTTAGTGGCGACGTCCGGCGATTTTACAAAATTTTTTAATCAACTCCGTTGGGCGCGAGACTTGACCATTTGACTTTTTTCGAACAAGTTTGCATTCGAGTTCCGCCGCCTCGTCTTCGTCGCCGTGTCGTCTGCCTCTGTGTGCGTTTTTCGGCAATTAAAATCCATTAATGCAATTGTTGCTTACCAATTCCCGGGCCCCCCCAAAACCTTTATGCAACAGGGCCGAAATCAACGCAACAAGGGACGTACTCTAGCCGCAATTGAAGTCTGTGTGAGGTGAGTGCGCCAGCAATTAACATAAACCAATTACAGCTAATTACAATTAAACAAATTAGTCGCCGCAAATCGTGCGCGAATCGTTGCTGCTAGTGTCATTAAAGTGATATGGTATTTGCATAAATTAGATAAGGATTAACAGCAAATAGAACAGAGCGACCCAGAGCCAGAGCCAGTCGAAACACAATGCTTTATATTGTCCTGGTCCCTTTTAATGGCCCTCGTAAAAAGAGCCCTTAAAAAATTATGCATTTGCATGGGGGTAATTGCAGCTGCAGATGTACCCTGTAGAAAGAGGAATCAGCACTTGAAATACTCATTAAAAATCAGGGGAGTTTTAGAAAACAAGTGCAGTGGGTTGTTTCTTATTTAAATGATACAAATTGGTGGGTTCTTTATATTTTTTACTTTGTCTTTTATTACCTAATATACAAGTTTTAGAAATAGTAAAGTTTTAACAATGCAAAGTTTCTAATATATTTAATAGTACAAAATCCTTAACTATCTCCTTGAATTAATCGTACATTTTAATTAAGACGTTTGAAAATTAAATTAAATATTTGTTCTTATATATATTTCTTTATAAAATCCCCAACCCCCTTGAATAGTCAATATACCCTTCCTTAGTTAAAGTAAATCTACGTTATCAGCTCTCTACAACGCTGAACTCTCCTAATTGCCAAGTATTTCGGCTCAACAAACACTAAATTTCAGCAATTTCAATGGCAAATAAATTGAAATTGTGCTGGCCTTTATTTCAACAAATTACAAATTACATTTACATACTTTCCCATGTTAATGAATTTTCCCATTTCCATGTCCAATTTGTTCATGGATAGTGGTTAGGCCACTGCACTTCATTAACCATTCGAAATCGTTTAAATTGTCTGCTCGATGATTTAATTTTCGAGGAAAGACTTTGTTTGGTTGGTTGTCTCGGCTTTTTTTTTGGCTAATCATAAATAGAAATTCCTGTCACAACGAATGCTCGTCTTGTGGCCAAAAATTGGAGGTGGCACGTCAGGTGGAAGCCATTCATTAGCCCCGTCATCATATAAATAATCGGATCCGTTCCCATTTAGGCTGTAAATTGATTCATCGCATACATAGTTCAGAGCCGTGTTCTTATCCCACAGACTCCCACTAAGATTTGTGCATTAATTGCTTGACTAAGCATCATCGAAAGCTCATAACAAGTTTGTTTCACCAAATTAAGAGATGGCCAAACCAGTTGAATGAATGAGAAAACACAGATAAAACATATACAAAATCAATGGTTTAATAAATAAAAAAAAAAAAGCACCGAAAACAAATGCCGCAAACGAAGCTGGAATTAGATAATATTTAATGGGATACTCCTCCCCATTACCGACTTTATGGGATATATATAGACGCGTTTTTATTGGCATTTCTGCAGAGGCGTGTCTGAAGATGCACTGGAAATATTCAAACATTTCAATTATCACCCCAAGACATGCATTGAAAACTGTTTAAGCGGTTTTTAAAATGTTTAAATTGAAAAACGATAATAATCACCACATTACATATACGTTTGTCTGCCTATTACGACACGGAGCAGCGCATCTCCGACAATTATGATGACTATAAATAGCGGAGAAAAACCAAATGGCTTACAACGACAGCCAACAATTGTGGGTGTTACTTTGGGGACCAGCTTCGGCGAAATTAATGAGGCAACCAACTTAAATTATTAATGAATGAATGCGGTCATTGACAAATACTCCGGCACACACAGACACACACTCGCTCGCATTGGAAATTTACAATAAATATATTATTGAAATCCAAGAGCAGACATTAATAAAATGGGCGAATAAATATTCCAATTTCATGATGCGGTCTGAGCAGTTCATTGCAAATTGAAACCGAGAGCCAAGCCGCAATTACTAATTGCGGTATGCCAAAATGTTCATGGGAAGCCAGGGGCCAACAGAGGGTTAAGGGTCATTTGGGCCATACAGTTGTGGTGAAAATAATAAGAGTTCAGGTTACATAACACTGCAAACAATACCAGATCTATTCTGGGTTTTATTTTGAACAGGTATTAAATAATAATAATGCTAACGATCTTATTGGCAAACCGGAATATTTAAATAAAATACAAGTCATAGCATTTTGGGTTTTACTTTTTCAATATGCAAATTTATAAAATATATATTCTGAAATATTAATTAATGTTATTAAAGCAAAGTAACAGTAATTTATAATTATTTTATGACTGTTTTAATGTTTTTATTTCTTTAAAAATAAACTCAAGTATTCAGTAAAGAAGTTAATTTAAATGCAAAATTTAAATTGCAAATATCGATTCTGTATAGATATTTAATGCGAGAGTCGATAAATCCATACCGTTCCGATATATATGCTTTAAACCGATATTCGGTTTGATGTATCGATTATCAAAAGGATAAATAATTCACACTTTAAAATAAAAATCGATATTTTTAGATACTTTTGATAGATAAAACGATCGATTTTTGTCTATAAAAGTTTACGTTATTTTTGAACTTCATTTTTAATCGAGTCGAATGATTATTTTTAATTAAAAAACAATCTTTCTAAATACAAACCCTTTCAATAAATTTAAAAAACATATGAAATTCAGCAGTTTCTATTATGTTTTCCATCACTGTAACCTCACCTGCAATTGATGTGGGTGAAAATGGCAGCTATTCTTCGTTGCAGCTATATGGTAAACGGAAGCAATAGATCAAATCATCTGCGGTACGTCAAGTCGATTACTTAACAGCCTGTGGAAGTGTGGAATTCGCGTAGCTCCAATAAGTGAAAGGTTCGTCGAACCGGAATTAGCAACGGGCCAGAATTGGGCATTATTCAAGCGAACTTGGCGGCGATAAACCAGTCAGGACTGATAAGCTCGTGCATAGAACCTGGCCGAAAAAAAACACGTTTTGCACGGCACTAACCGAAAATAAATATGAAACAAATATTTAAAAATAAACAAAGGTAAATAAATAATAATCGACGCAAATCCGATCGTTCGAATACATATAAAATGATAACGAATCCAGCTGGTTGACAAATGAGGACCAGCATCCATTTATTAGAATGTCTAAATCCGAGAGATTGTAAGATTGCGGATTTATTATCTGGGATCTGAGCCAAGCAGAGCAGATCGGAGTTCGATATCTAATTTATGAGATGTTTGCCTTTCTTTTCTCGTCTCTTTTTTTTTTGCTGGGCTATTTTGTCTCGAGCGTGTCAACTAATTAAGCAAAAAGAACGCTGAAAAACTCAATTGGAAACAAGTTCCAGCAAACACTCGCCGTGCTATCCACATCCATTAGCATTCGGATAATCGGGTTTGGATCCAAATCGAAATCGTAATCGGAGTCCGGAGCCATTAAAATCGTATTAATAATGGGCATCAAAGACAAAAAAATACAAAACGCATTGAGCTGGCGAATTTTTCAAGTTCAGGGCATCCGGTGACATCGATATATCAACTTTCAATTGATTTAAATTGTCTTAATTGTTTCAATTTGGCTCACAGCCACACACTGGCCAGTGGCCACTGACTACAACTAAACACCATAGAGAGACGCAGACTTGAACCCAAAACCCACTATTACGATTATGAGGCTAATTTCCATCATAATGGGTCTCTCGGCCTGGTCAAGTGCCATAAACCCGTTTCCACACACACACATATATTAGCATTAACATACTGCCATCAGGCTGACAGCAGCTTCGAATGAATGAAAGCTCCCATGCAAATGCTGCTGGGTCATTCGGTTGCAAGTGCATCCCAATCCCAGACAAATGCACCTCTAATTGGCAATCGCCCCGAAATTGATTGGGTTTCTGGTTTATTGGGGTTTCCCTTGGTCGCTTTATGGCCATTTAATTGGCCATTTCTCGCTGGCATGGCCTGGACTGGACTGGGCCTGGGCCTGGGCCTGGCCCAAATACACGGACATCCGGGCCGCATCGATCGATTGCCTGGCATTGCCTTGCACAATTTTTCAAGTTCAAAGCACGGCCAACGGCCAAATTGCACTTGTTGCCATCGCACTTGTTGCTGCTACTGCTGCTGCTGCTGTGGGGATGTTGATTCAATTATGACAGCTCTTTATTGTGTTAACGAAACTGAAAACTGAAAACTGAACACTAAAAACTGAACACGAAAAATGTCAAATGCTGCTATTGACCTTGACTGCTCTGCCCAGCTCTCTGCTCCGGCGAACTCAAATATGATTATGCATATGAGTGTATTCAAATGAATTTGGCAGGCCGTCAACACTTTGCTTAAGCCTTTGCTTTATTCACTTAACCAAACTTTACGAAGGGGAAATATTCGAATATTGTATTTTAGGTAAGCAAAAACTGTGAAATTAAAGGGTTTCGAATGTGGATTTTAGTTTAAGTTTGCTTATAAAGAGTAGGGGTTTCTTAAAGTTGGATACTTTTATTAAAACAAAATTTAAAAACCATGTTCTAATAATTCACTGGGAAATAAGGTTTATTATGAAAGCGTAAGAGACCAGAATTTCTGTAAAAACTAAATACTTTGCATTGACAATTCATAATTCGAGTCTATTTAGCTTCTACTTCGAATACTCATCAACAAACTAAGCTATATATGTTAACTTTCTACCGCTTCACAGAATTTAAACTTGGATATTTCAAGGTTTTTCCATTAAAGGTATAAAAATTAAGTTTCATAATTTAAAATGTAGACTTATCTTCTCTTCATTAAGTTCTTAAATGTAATATAATATTCCTGAAAATAAAATTTACAAATAAGAATTTCTCTTGCAAATATTACACCTCAAAATTCGTAGAGCTTAAATCCTTAGCTGATTTTCTCCTAAACTCTCACTTATTCAAGGCGCCAGGAAAAATCTTGTTGTTAACCCCGACAGCTTGTACGATCTGGTGATAAACCATTTCAGTGCCGGATTGAAGTCCCAACATGGTTTGCCAGTCGGTTCTGTCAATTCCATTCGCCGTGTTTG